TGATTTTATGTATGTTTACCCTTTTTTTGTCATGTTTCTTTCTTATTCCTGAAATCTCATTATTTAACTAGATAGTTGCTTCCATAGTTTTCTAAATTTCCAGATGCTCTTTTGCTGTCACCACACTATTTGTTATCAGCTCATATTTCCAACAAATTGTGGTGGAAAATCTTCTAAGCTGAAGAATAAAGATACATATCTACCGATTGTAGATGGTACGTTCCAGCAGGAGATTGCCTTTTATGATTGAACTAACTGAAACTGCTTAAGTTGCTCTTATATTAGTAGGGAAAAAGAGCAAATCTGCATTTCTACCACCTGACAAAGATGATTTGTATTCAATTCAGTGCTTTTTTTGAAATGTTAAAGTAATACAGCCTTCATGCATCTGGTGCTCAATGATGCAGTTCAAATGATTGAATCTGAGACAGTCAAATAGCTGTCTTCATTCAGGAGTTTATAGCCTGTCATTCCTGAAGGTAAACTAATCTTTCCTTGATTACTGCATTCATTGGAAACGTCAGATCCACCCTTGCTAGCATATTGCAGCCTAGGCATGAAAATAGAAACAGGCTAACAAAGATAATTCTACAACTGACTTTTTTTTTGAAAATTAGTCTGCCTTTCAAAAGGTTTTAGCAAGTGATATGTTTCTCATTTGCTCATTATCTCTCTCTAATAAGTCAGAAAGGTCAGAATCCTGTGGAGAAAAAAAGCATTGGCTCTTTGGCTGTCCTAAGTTATTACTTTGAAAGCTTTGCTGTGTTTCTATTCTAGTTAACATTTTCAAATTAATTCTTAATACTTGCCCCTCCCCTTGTCTTACTAGACCTTCATCTCTAGAAACTACTTAGCCAAAAATGTCTTTTTAAATTTCAGTTTGCCCTCTGACTTTTCTGATTTACTGAATGGGCCTGTGAAGTTTCAGTATGACAATATATTATGGATTTCAAGTTAATCAGTCAGTATAGAAAAAAAGATAGCTTTTTATTTGCATGACCAGTGTAATTTAGTTCAATAATATGAAGAATGAATGGTGAGTGTTAGTTTGTTGCTTTTATGAATCAAGCAGAGACAAATTGAGATGGAGAAAAGCTAAATACTGCTTAAAGAAAAATCACATGTAGAAATGGTTAACATGCTAAAACTCAGACTTTATGGGCTGTAAATGCATGAAACAAAATTGCTTTAATTTGCCACTGAATTGACATCAAATTTACATGTTGTAAGAATGGCTGGTGAGTGAAATTGAAAATGCAGAAATGCAGTAAAAGGTATTTGCAGGAATTTAGGACTTTACATATTTAAAAACAAATCTGGCCAGCAAAATGTTGTTATATAATGGTGAGAACATGTTTTAGTTGAGCTGTTAGTATGAATATCCTAGTTGGCCCATGCCTTTAAAGTGCAAAGTTCCGGGTCATCTTAAACAGATTTGTTTTTAAATAAATGGATTGTAAGGTCCACGTTCTTATGGAGATGGAATCCTTCTGCACCTTGACCAAAACAGCAGTAGAGACTTGAATTGAGAAATTTCACCTCTGTATCTGGCATCCACTAATTTCACTGGGGGTTGGTGAGAAGTAGGTAGGGAGATGTATTTCAAACCTCTTTAAAAACAATCCTGTTGTGAGTCTCAATTTAAAAACAATTGCTTGTAATTTCGATAGCTGTATATTTATACCAGAGAGGTTCTCTTTGCGGTGTTGCTACTTGACTGCTTCCACAACCATACTGGGGGGAGGTAGTGGCCTAGTGGTATTATCACTGGACTGTTAATCCCATGACCTGGATAATGTTTTTGGGGACCAGGGTTCGAATCTCACACGGCAGATTGTGGAATTTGAATTTGATAAATAATTTGGATTCACAGTCATCATTAGATCCTTAATTCCTTGTCAATTGTTGGAAAAACCCATCTGGTTCATTAATGCCTTTTCGAGAAGGAAACTGCCATCTTCACCTGGTCTGGTCTACATGTGACTCCAGACTCTCAGCAATGTGGTTGAATCTTAACTGCACTCTGGACAATTTGGGATGGGCAATAAATGCTGTCTAGCCAGTGATGTCCTCATTCTGTGAATGAATAAAAAAAAATCATAAATGGCCATTATTGCTCACATCCCATGAACAAATTAAAAATGCATTTCAATCTCTTCAAGAACTTAATTCCTCATAAAAATAAACATTTGTATTCATTGCCGCACGTCAAAGGTACCTATAACCACTTGAAGCTGTCAATTAAACTACTAATGTACAAACTCCTCTCCCCAATATAATTAATTTAATTTACCTGGTGAAGATCGTAATGAGCTACCTTTTTGACCTGCTGCAGCTCTTGGGGTGTCGGGGCGCTTACACTGCTGCTTGGGAGGGACTGTCAGGATTTTGATCCAGAGGCAGTGAAGGAACATTTGCAGTTGAGGGAAGTTTTTCTCAAGTTGGCATTGGTTTGGGATTAAAAATTGGCACCCAAGTGTATAAATTTAGGAAGGTAGAGAAGTTTGTGCAAAATCCTTTCCTGTTGTAGAGAAGGAAAAAAAAGTAAAAGGTAGAATTGTAGACCGTGTTCCCTGTAAGCACAGCAACCCAAATGTCCCTGTGCCAAGTCTGCAGAGGTTAGCCCCTTTAAATGCTGTTAAAGATTAAAGGAACAACTTACTTAAATTATCCACAACTACTTCAAAACATTAGAGGGAATGTTTGCTGTAGGCAGGTGAAGTGGAAGATGACTGGCCTTGGTCTTGGCAAATAATAAATAGGTGTGAAGCACTCAGAAGACTGAAACCGTAATGAAAGTGTCTTATTAAGTTGACTGAAACTTGAGGTGAATGCTTCTGCTGTTTACATTTTAAATAAAAACACATATGTAATACGTTTCATTTTTGAAATGCAGCTGAAGCTAGGATTCATTATAAGATTATGGGTTGTATATGCTATTTGCTAAATAATTCCTGTTATAGGGATGTTTGAAGGTTCAGCAGCTGTATACATTTTTCGTTTGGGAAATGGTTAAATATTATGAAGTTTTAAACATCAAACTCGTGTGAAGATATCATCTTTACCTTCATAAAACTGAGTGAATATCAGTTGGTGTACCGTTTGCCTACCTGTGGGTAAATCATCCTTTGTGAAAGCATATGAACCCAGAGTGTGATTACAGTACAGAAAAAGGCTATTTTGACTTGAGTTTATGCAGGATCTTTGCAAGAGCAACTCGGCTAGCCCCATATTCCTATCCTTCCACAGCACTGTGAAATTCTTACATTTAGCTAACTTATTCAATTTCCTATTCCATCCCATGACAAAATCTGCCTCCATTAATTTTTTTATTCGTTCTTGGTCTGTGCTGTCACTGACAAGGCCATTGTTTATTGCTCATGCTTAATTACCTAAATAAGGTGATTCTGAGCTGCATTGTTGGACTGCTGCAGCCCTTGCGTATTACACACACCTACACTGATGTGAGGGAGGAATTTTCCTGATTTTGAGTCGATAAAAGTGAAGGAGCAGCAATGTATTTCCAAGTCAGGATGAAATGTTGCTTGGAGAAGAACTTGTAAATGGTTGATGATGTTCCTGGTGCATCTGTTGCCCTTGTCGTTCTAAGTGGTAGAGGTTGTAGGTTTGGAACGTGCGTGGCAGTGCATCTGGTAGAAGGTACACACTGTTGCCACTGTGTGGTGATGATGAACATCTCAGGCAGTGCATTGTAGGTAAAAGTCAATACATAGCTGATGGTTAATCTAAGGCAGCTAATTATAGATTCCGCTGACATTAATAAACATTTCAGCTTTTGTGGCTTTTAAGATAGTGTATAACACTCAATTGAGTTACTTTATTGTCTTGTAATATGCCAGGCATCCATTATGTTATCTCAACTGTTCAGAGTAGACGTTAATTTACGTTAACTGTGACACTTTTATTATTGGCTTTTTAAGATTCCCTGTTCATCAGTCTTCTACTATATGTCTGACTCATCACTTTGCCTAAAAATAAAGCCATTACGACAATAATGAAATTTAAACACGGTAATTAAATTGTATCAGTTTTAAGCTTCAAAATTAACATAAAGAATGGCAGAAATATATTCAATGATTATAATGCACACTTTTGGAGAAAACCCGCAGCAGAAGGTACTCTCTGTGTCTGTCTGTCCTTTGTAATTTTATTTTTGGAAAGTGACTTTGTACAGGAAATCGTGCTGCAGAGCATTGATAATTTTAGCTTGCAATTTGCCTCTCCTTATGGCGTATCTTTCAGCAAGACCCATTGTAAATTAAATCTATTTAATAAGCACAAGGAGTGAGTTCACTTCCTTCTAGTCATGCCCTTAGGCCAAAAAAGGTTAAATTGGATATCAGTAGTGGGATTGAACCTGCATGTATGTTCATATGCTAGAGCCATTAGACGTGGTTCATTCTGGCTTGAATATAAAGCTGATTCCTGGTTTATTACTGTTGAAAGAGGAAGTATTATGACTTCATATTTCTCATTAGGGTTGTGTTTAAACAAAAAGCTAATGGTCGCTTGGTGGCACAGACCCTTTGAGTATTATTGCAAAATGGGACATGCTGTTGAAGCTTGTCTTACGCTTGTCAGCACAGAAGTGTAAAAACACCATGCTTCAAAGGAAGCACACTTATGCTGCATGAGTAGAAGGTACTGATTGTTTGGCAAGTTGAGCTCTGCTCTTTGTGGTAATGCCTTGACCACAGTCCACTTGGCAAAGAATCAGCACCTCCTTACAATGCAGTATAAATTATTTTTTCTTTGAAATTTGGAATTTTTCTAACTTCATTCTAATGAGTGCAAGAAAAAAGCTTTGACAAATGTATTTTTCTTCCAGTGAAAAACTAATGTTATAATTGATCCCTTTTCATGATCTTGAATGTGAATTTGTAGTCATTAGTATGAATTTGACTTTGACATTGACATTGCAAAGTGCATTGAATTAGACCACTGTACAATTTAATAAGCCACTTTAATTTTCTATTCAGAGGAACCATGACTGCGCAAGTGACTTTGGAAGATGCCCTATCCAATGTTGACCTGTTGGAAGACTTACCATTGCCTGATCAACAGCCTTGTATTGAACCACCGCCTTCATCACTTTTGTACCAAGTAAGATGATGTTCAGAAATACGGTTTGTTTGTGGCATGGCAGGCATTTGTTTGGAATGATGCAGTTAATCTCTCTGCTATGAGTTGGCAAGGAGAGAAGAATCAATAGGGATTCCTCCTATCATTCACCATTTCAGTCACCCATGCCAGAAAGTGTGTTTGGACATGGAACGTTTTTTTCTGCGGTTAGAATGCGTAACAATATGATAAACAGGTTCTTTTTTTTTCGCGAATGCATTTGTAAAGTTGTTGCACATAATGACCAGAAGAATTCTTCTTTGAATAGTGGGACTCGTGCATGATGCCTTTACAATTGAATAAGCTGCTGACACAGCCACACACTTGACGAATGGTGCTTAGGTATAGTATTGCAGAACTATTGCTTATTAATCAAATGTACCACTAAAAAATAAAGGTAGTTCAGAAAAGATTGGGGATAAAAGAAAGGGCTTTCTGTAAGAGCAGCTTTAAAGTAAATTATTTGTGAGAGGTGTCTTGAGATTTGAGTATGTGTACATTCAACAAGTCACCATTGCTCCTTTAAGTGTTGCCCTGTGCTAACTTCCAAATTAACCTGGCAAAAGAAGCCCAGTTTTTTTAAAATATTTCCTCCTTATTTTAGTTGAGAAATCACTGAAACAAGAAACTTCTTGATGCAGAGGGTGGTAATTCTGCAGAATTCCCTACCAAAAAGGCTGTGAAGGCACTGTCACTGAATGTTTAAAAAAAAATAGATTTGTAGAAACTGAAGATATTGAGGGGTATAGGGGGGAGAGCAATGGAGTATGGCGTTGAGATAGAGAATCATCCACAATCATGTTGAGTGGTGGAATGGGCTTGATGGGTTGAAAGGCCACCACCAGCACCAATTTTTGATGTTTAAATTTTTCTGTTTCTTGAGTTGTAGGTGTCACTGACATGATCAATGTTTGTTATCTGTCCCTAATTGCCCACCATGTTGCTGTGGTTCTGGAATCATATGCACGTCAACTCTGGGAAGGCAGATTTTCCTTTCTGTAAAGGACAATACTGAGCCAGGTAGTTTTGACGACAATGTTACAATGTGGTCACCATCGAGATTCAATTTCAAATTTTTAAAAATAATGTTTAAATTTCACCAGTGGCCATGATGGGATTTCAGCAGGCTGGGGAGGTGATGGCCTAGTGGTATTATTGCTGGACTGTTAATCCAGAGACCCAGATAATGTTCTGGGGACCCGGGTTCAAATCCCGCCATGGCAGGTGTTGGAATTTGAATTAAATGTCCGGAATTAGGAGCCTAATGATGACTGTGAATCCATTGTTGACTGTTGGGAAAAACCCATCTGGTTCACTAATGTCCTTTAGGGAAGGAAACTGCCATTCTTACCTGGTGTAGTCTACATGTGACTCCAGACCCACAGCAATGTGGTTGACTCTTAACTGTCCCCTCTGGGCAATTAGGAATGGTCAATAAATGCTGGCTGGTCAGCGACACCCTCATCCTGTGAATGAATTTAAAAAAAACCCATCCCCTTTTGCATGAAAAGTCTGTGGATTACTAGTACAGTGCCATTACCACTACACCATGAGGTTATGTGCTTTGGCAGGAAGAATGGAGGAGCTGAGTGTTATTTAAGTAGAAAGAGACTGCAGAAAGCTACAGAATAGAAGGACTTGGGAGTCCTTGTCCACGAGCCTCAAAAAGCTAGAATTCAAATTCAACGGGTAATAAGGAAGGCAAATGGTTTGTTGGCCTTTATTTTTGAAGGGAAGCGAGTGTAAAAGTAGGGAGGTTTTGCTAAAACTATGCGAGGCACTGGCCAGACCATAATTGGAATACTGTGAACGGTTTTTAGCCCCTTATCTAAAGAAAACTACAATGGCATTGGAGGCAGACCACAAAAAGTGCACCAGATTGAGACCAGGTATGGAAGGGCTGTCTTGTTTTGAGCAGTTGAGTAGATCTGGCCTGTACCCATTGGAATATAGAAGTATTAAAGGTGACCTTATTGAAACATACAAAATTCTAGAGGATTTGACAGGGTAGATGTAGAAAGATTGTTTCCCCTTGTCGGAGAGCCTGTGGCCAGAGAACAGAATCTCAGAATAAAGGTTTGCACATTTAAGATGGAGATGAGGAAGATTTTTTTCCTGACACTTGTGAATTTGTAGAATTCTTTATCAGAGAGAGCTGTTGAGGCTGTGTCTGTGAGTATTTTCAAGGCTGAGATAAACAGTTTTTAATTAGTAAGGGAATCAAAGGTTTTCGGAAAAGGCAGGAATGTGGAGTTAAGGATTATCAGATCAGCCGTGATCTCATTGAATGGCACGGCAGAAGTGACTTGATGGGCTGAATGGCTACTTCTGCTTCTACATCTTATGGACTCTACCACCTCCTCTTGCAATGGGCTAATTTTCTTTAGTATCAACTGTGTGGAATTAATATGTACACCTGAGGGACTGAAAGTTTCTTCATATTGATATGCAAAATTGTTCCATGTTTGATTAAATGTAACATCTGTTTTGACAGAATAATTTTTTTTCTCTCTCTAGCCAAATTTCAACACCAACTTTGAAGATAGAAATGCATTTGTTACAGGAATTGCAAGATACATTGAGCAAGCAACCGTTCATTCCAGCATGGTAATATCGATCTCTGCAAAGTTCATATTTTTCTATGCAGATATTCATCGCTTTGGACCCAAGACTTAATTTGTAGCAGCATCGTCTTGACATTTCATCTTGTTTCTCTTGAATTTCCTGTGATTTGTGGCAAAGTTCCACATGTCATCAGGGCAGCTCTTATTTCTAAGAAAATCCTTTTGAAATCAGGTTGGAAGATTTGGCCTCAATGCAGAAAGCAGACATTGCTCAGTCCCACCTATCTGATCATTTACCTGATATATGCAGGCATCCTAATTCCATGTGCTCAGGCTATTCCTTAATTTATTTAGCCACATTCTCTTGAACCGCCCATATAACCTTTTCTTAAACATTGAAATGACATTTTCTTCAGCATATTCCATAGCCCGTCAACCTTTACTGCACTGATTTTTTTTTTGAAAATTACTTGCATTTACTCTTATATGAGTGTCATCTTATTCTGGACTACACAACGAATAGAAACAATTTGTCAACCAGAGTTGATTTAAATTTTTAAGGGATGGAAACTATCACATGTCCATAAGGTCCTCTGATGTACTGCCCAGATTTAAATTTGAACTAAACTCAGATCTGCAAAACTGACAGCTTGGCTGTGACAGTGATTACACTCTTAGAATAGAGCGCGCAAATTTAAGTCAAAGTTGACATTTCTGGTTAGTACTCTGGCAGTTCTCCATTAATCAAAAAGCTATACTTTCAGAAGAATTTGCCTGCTCAGATGACTTTTCAAAAAGAAACTAGTGCTTTATTGCTATTTAACAAGCAGGAAGTTTACCCAACGGCATGGCTAATGTTTATCCCTCACCACTAAAACAAATTAGCTAGCCATTTATTTCATTTGTTATCTGTGTGCACAATTTGCTGTTGGCATTGTTTCGAAATTAATTTATAGGCTATGAAATGTTTTGGTATTTCCTGAGGATGTGAACATATTTAATGCATTTTTTGTTTTACACAGCTTTGTTTTAAGGCTAAAACAAGCAACGAGCAAAACTCTTGTGAAATATTTAAGTGATTCCTTGTGTCTAGAACTGTAAATTAACTTTTTAAACAAGTTGGTTAGCTAGTTTGGAAGAACTAGCAATGTACTGAATAAGAATTTAATCCAATTTGTTCAGATTCCGGTTTATATATTAATTTGAATGAGGGAACAAAATGTAATACCTCAAAGTTTACAGATAATATCAAGTTGGGTGGGAGGCTGAACTGTGATGAGGATGCACAGATCCTTCAGCATGATCTGGACATGTTGGATGAGTGGGCAAATCAATGGCAGGTGCAGAATGATTTGGATAAATGAGAGGTTACTCACTTTGGAAGCAAAAACAAGAAGGCAGATTACTACCTGAATGGCTGTAAATTGGGAAAGGGAGGTATGCAGTGGGATCTGGGTGTTGTTCTGCACCAGTCGCTGAAGGTAAGCATGCAGGTACAGTAGGCGGTAAAGAAGGCAAATGGTCTGTTGGCCTTCAATGCAAGAGTTTTCGAGGACAGGAGTTGTTGCAGTTATACAGGGCCTTGGTGAGGCCACATGTAGAATACTGTGTGCAGTTTTGGTCTCCTTTTCAGAGAAAGGATGCCCTTGTTATCAAGGGAGTGCAGCGAAGTTTTTCCAGGCTGATTCCTGGATATGACATATGAGGAGAGATTGACTGACTAGGTTAGGATTGTTTTTGCTGGAGTTCAGACAAATGAGGGGGGATCTCATAGAGACTTAGAAAATTGTAACAGGACTGGACAGGGTAGATGCAGGGAGGATGTTCCCGATGGTGGGTGTGTCCAGAATCAGAGGTCACAGTCTGAGGATTCGGGGTAGACCATTTATGACGGAGACGAGGAGACGTTTTTTCACCCAAAAAAGTGGAGAGCCTGTGGAATTCATTACCACAAGAAGTAGTTGATGCCAAAACATGGAATGCGTTCAAGAGGCGAGTAGATATAGCACTTGGGGCAAATGGGATCAAAGGTTATGGGGAGAAAGCAGGAAAAGGCTATTGAGTTGGATGATCAGACAGGATTGCGATGAATGACAGAGCAGGCTCGAAGAGGTGAATGGCCTCCTCCTACTTCTATCTTCTATGTTTCAATGTTTATGGTGTCACTGCATAATACTTGCTTTCCATTTTTTTGGCTTTCAGAATGAAATGCTAGAGGAGGGGCAGGAATATGCTGTTATGCTGTATACTTGGAGAAGTTGTTCAAGAGCTATTCCTCAGGTATTGATCAGAAAGCTATTTTCAGAAGAATTTGCTGCTCAGATGACTTTTCAAAAAAAAAAAGTGCTTTATTGCTATTTAAAAAGCAGGAAGTTCACCCACTGGCATGGATAATGCTTATCCCACACCACTAAAACAAATTAGCTGGCTATTTATATCATTTGTTATCTGTGTGCACCAATTTGCTGTTGACATTGTTTCGAAATTAATTTATAGGCTATAAAATGTTTTGGAATTTCCTGAGGATGTGAACATATTTAATGCACTTTTTTTACACAGCTTTGTTTTAAGGCTAAAGCAAGCAATGAGCATAAGTTGGAACTTATTTTAGAAATCATTCTTTTTTTAAAAGACTTTGGCTCATCCCTGTTATGCTTTTTTGGAGAAAAAGGGTTGGTGGGGGGTAATTGATGCAAGTGACCATTCAATTTGTCAACATTACTGTCTTTAAAAAAAATTAAAATGGCCAAATTTCAGTAGAGTCTCAAGCAGCCTCCCCTTTTTGGGCTTGAATTTCCTTACTAAGCAGAGAGACTCTGCTTGTGATTATTTATGTTAACGCAAAGCAGCCACTTCATCAGAAGTATTTTAAAAGGCACTTTTTTTGGTCAGCAAATAGCAATAAGTTCCAGATTCAGTGATTTGTGCAATGTTGTCAAAATGAAAATGTTGATTATTTTTGTTTTGCCAAGTTTTGTCCTTTGACTACTGACCAAATTTTCCTTTTTCTTTGCCTCCTCTTAGCAATTTAATACATTTTAGTTAAAAAACTGTTTTCATGTTGAAGATTTTAATCTGAGAAATAATGTACCTTACCTGCATCAAGTGACAAGCAACAAAACCAAAGCTATAAACTTGCTGCTATGTTTGTAGATTCATCAAGTATTTTTCATTTTACATCCCCTCATGAATTGGCCTGTACTTATTGCACGTGGGAACATTGTTATATAACAAATCAAATTTGCAATTATGTTTTTCCACAGGTTAAGTGCAACGAGCAGCCAAATAGAGTAGAAATTTATGAAAAGACAGTGGAAGTCCTTGAGCCAGAGGTCACTAAACTTATGAATTTCATGTATTTCCAGGTAAACACTGAAAAGATACTTATGAATGAGAAGACTTATGTTGCTCATTTTAGTTTATCTGTCCAAAATGACAGTAATTTTTATTCATTACAGCATCAAACTAATAAAATTATTCCCATCCTTTTGCCCCCACTACTTTATTTAGGAATCTCTTGATTGGTTCTTGTGAAGAAAAATTTGTAAAAACCTGTACCAAATTTACCTTTTTAATGGTTTCAGCCTGTCATTGTTTTTGATGTCAGTTTGGTTGAATTTTATTCTTGAATTCATATTTGCTATGATCTATTCATTCATCTCTGTAGTAACTGACTGAGACTGAACCAGTTGATATGACCTCAAGAAGAGGTTTTAACCATATATTCACTCCACCACCAAGACCTTTATACAAGATATCTTCGTAGTATTGCTTGGATTTGGTTTGCCTCGGCCTACCTGCTGCTGAAACCCTTATTGATGATTCTTACCTTTTTTGCTTGATGTTTGTAATGTTTGACTGGCTGGCTTCCAATTTCCATCCTCAGTCAACTGACCTTATCCAAAACAACGCTAATTCCTCACCCGCAGCAAGTTCTGTTCATCAGTGATCCCTATGCTTGATGACCTACGTTGGCTTTTGGCCCAGCAATGTGTCTCTTTTACATGCTTGCCATTTTCTCAATGCCTTTGTGTCTCCTTAGTACTTCAATTTCTTCCAACACTACAATTTTTTGAGATTTCTGTGCTGCTGCAAATCTGGGTTCTTGCACTTCCCTGATTTGTAATAGTTGTGCCATTGATAATTGTGCCTTCCGCTGTCTGAGAGGTAAGCTCTGCAATTCCCTCCCTGAACTTCCCCTTCCCTTCTAGCTCTTTTTTAAGATGCTGTTTAAAACCTCCTTTGACTTAACTTTTAAATGTTGTCAAATATTGCCTGATATTGCTACTATGAAGTCCTTGGGATATTTTCGTACATTGGTGATGCTACTAAATGCAAATTGTTGCATAATGTTAGCCATCTAATTCAACCTAGCTTTTCCTTGAAATTACTGGGATGTATTTAAAATGTGTACAAATTTATTCAACAGCGCAACGCAATTGATCGATTTTGTAATGAGGTGAAGCGACTCTGTCATGCAGAGAGGAGGCGAGATTTTGTTTCAGAAGCTTATCTTCTCACACTGGGCAAATTCATTAACATGTTCGCAGTATTGGATGAATTGAAGAACATGAAATGCAGTGTAAAAAATGACCACTCTGCATACAAACGGTGAGGCTTCATTTTGTTTTCTTTTGAAGTGATAACATGTTGGTACCTTGGGTCTGAAATTTGTACCAATTGTTTCAGTTTTTTTTTGAAGGTTGCTAGGTCCAAGTTAATTGAACATTTGTAACCTCATGTATATTTTATGGGTGAGATCATAGAATGAATTGTGCAAGTTTATCAGGCATAATTTGAGCAATATTAAAGAGGAGCAAATTCCTGAAAATAGATAATATATGTCTCTCAAGTATTGGCGTTTATTAATTACCGCGATCATGTTGAATGGCAGAGTGGGTCACATGACCAGTGCCTGCTCCTAATTACTATGTTTCTAATTTCCAATTAGTTAAAATTTGAAAATTTCCTGACAATGAGCAGCATTGATATGGGAAGTATTGAGAGTTAATCTTGTCACTTATTTTGGAATGGAGTTTTAGCTTCAATATTGCACCTGTCAGGGTACATTTCCCTGGTTGGGTGGAAGGGTAACTAATGTTCAAGCAACTTGAGCAGTGCCATACTTGTGTAATTCCTCATAGGCTAAAGAGGCCTGTATCTGCCCACCTCTGAGAAATGGAAAATAAAGCTAAGCTGGCAACTTCCAATTTGCCAAAAAAAACCTCATTCTATTGTAAATGTCACAACTTTAATCAAATTTAATAATGTTCATTAATTCTTAGGTAGTTTAAAAGTTCGATTTACATAACTAGTCTATTCTCCCTTACCTACAAAAGCCTTATGAATTAAAGAAGGAAGTGCAAACAGAAAATGCTGGAAATCCTCAGCCTGTTAGGAAGCATCTGTTTCCACCAAGTTAACGTATCAGATCAATGCCCTTCATAGGCTTGAAATGTTAATTGTGGTGTGTTCTACAGGTGCTTCTGACCTTCTGAATATTTCCATCATTTTCTGTTTTTATTTTCAATATCTGCAGCTTTTTCTTTTCACAAAAAGCAAAGTAGTTATGTATTGTTTCTGATACATTCTGAGGATATACCTAAAATTTCTGATCATCTTTTAGTTGACCACTCATGAACTTAATTGATCCTAAGTGATTTTTTTGTGCTGCTGACCAAACGTGTCTTTTGTCAATGCAGTGTTACGAGACAAAACTACTGTTATACTGTACGTGCCTCAGATTATGACTGTAAAGGTTGGATAAATTGTGGGGGGCTCAGATTTATGTTGGCATACTTCCCTGTTAACATCTGCCCTTCAAACTAGGGAGACGATTGCTTGGTAGTACTGGACTTTGAACATTACTACAAAGAAACACAGAGTTGAAGCTGTTTATCTTGGCCACATCAGGACCAGGATGCAAGAAGACAAACTTAGAAAGGGAATGTCAGTTTTCACATCAAGAGGAGAAGATGTTAAATGGTTCAACCATGGTTAATATACATGCAGCAAGGATTTGCTGTGCAGGACATTGGTTAGGCCATTTTTGGAATACTGAACGCAGTTCTGGCCTCCCTGCTATAGGAAAGCTGTTGTGAAATTTGAAAGGGTTCAGAAAGGATTTACAAGGATGTTGCCAGGATTTGGGGGCTTGAGCTATAAGGAAAGGCTGAATAAACTGGGGCTGGTTTCCTTGGAGAGTAGAAGGCTGAGGGGTGACCTTAAGAGGTTTATAAAGTCATGAGGGGCAAGGATAGGGTAAATCGACAAGGTCTTTTCCCCGGGGTGGGGGAGTCCAAAACTAGTGGGCATAGGTTTAAGGTGAGAAGGGAAAGATTTAAAAGGGACCTAAGGGGCAACCTTTTCATGCAGAGGGACGTGCATGTATAGAACAAGCTGCCAGAGGAAGTGGTGGAGGCTGGTACAATTAGAACATTTAAAAAGCATCTGTATGGGTATATGAATGGGAAGGGTGTAGAGGGATATGGGCCAAATGCTGACAAATGAGACCAGGCTTATCTAAGATATCTGGTTGGCACAGACGAGTTGGACAGAAGGGTCTGTTTCTGTGCTGTATATCTCTGACTGCCCTCAGTGAAAAAGATGCACTATATGGATAACTTCCCTTGGCCTAGAAAGAACAGGCTCCTGTTATGAATAAATGTGTTAGCTTTGTAATTCATTGTATCTGTATAATAATGATTTTGTGGGATTTACTTAATCAACTGCTACATTTAAACCTTATTTCAGAGCTGCTCAATTTCTTCGGAAAATGTCAGACCCACAATCCATACAAGAATCTCAAAATCTCTCCATGTTTCTTGCAAACCATAACAAAATTACTCAGGTAAATGTGTTGTATGTAATCAGTTTTGTCAATCTGTTTTTACTGAGTCTTTGAGGATGACTCATCAATGTACCCACTAAATGCATAAGTTAATTTTTTAAAGTTTCATTTAAAAAGAAATTAACTACTTGAACTGGATCATCCAGTGGAAAGACTGTTTTTGTCTGTGTGGTATCCAATGCTGGATGAACAGAAGCTTTCTGTATTAAATATTAGGGAAACTGTAGCCATTGTTTTTCATCCCAGCTGTGATCTCTATTCTCGAGCTATCAAGTGTATCCCTGTCTCTGGGAACAGTTTGAAATTAAATCTGTCTTCTCGCAATCTTTACATCCTCTCGAACCTGAGTTGAATTTCTGACCACATTTTTGTCATCACTGAGACTTGTTTATTTGCTTTCTCAGTGCATTGTCCAACGTCTTTCCAGTCTCAGCTGATCTCCTGCTGAACCCCTCATTCAAGTCTTTATTATCTTTCATTTGACTACTCCGATGCATTCCTGGCTTCACTATCCATGCCCAAACTGCAGCAAGTAATTTTCACTTTGTGCCTCCTGTGCTTTCTAGCTACTGATCCAGCAGTATCTTGAATTTAAAATTCTTATCATTTTTCATTTGAATCCGTGCATTGCCTCAGCGCTCCGTACCTCTTTCATCTCCAAGAGTAACTTGCTGAGATTTGTCTCCTCGCGAATAGGAAGGATATCTTCTTTCTTTGGGTGTTAATGCGCTGGAGATGCATTACAGAAAAAGTAACTTCCTTTGGTGCTACCTGAGCAGCTGTTTTGTCTAATAAATAAGTTTCTCATCAATGCACTGTTCTTTTATAGACGCTGCAGCAGCAACTTGAAGTCATTCCAGGCTATGAGGAGCTTCTTGCTGACATTGTAAATATTTGCATTGATTATTATGAGAACAGAATGTACCTTACTCCTGGTGAGAAACATATGCTGCTCAAGGTAAATATATTTTCCTTTTTGAAATAATGTACAGTTTATGTAATATGTCCAACTGAAATTAACTTTCTGTAACATCTGGTAGGTTCTACATATAAATGTGGTGGCCAGGAGTCAGTTTTGTTTGATGTGTGTGGGAAGTTGAAGCCAAGTACAGGATTCAGGTTATGCAAAGGTCAAAGGTGTGGGTGTCGATTGAAAGAAAAGGGAATGGGGAAAAATGATAAATTAGGGGAGGGATGTATTTGGATAGTCAAAAATTCAGGTTTAGATTGGTAACAGGCACAGACTTTCTCCTAGGATTGAAGGGATATAATGCTACAAGACCCTAGTTATACGAGGATGGGTGTAAGTATGCTCCCAGATCATAATTTCAACCCTATTGTGAACTGAGAGGCTTAATATCCTTATTCCTCGTTTGGGAGCAAGTGGAGTTTGTGTTCACAGCTGCTGAATATCGGTTAAATTGTGGTAATTTATTGTTTTCTCCGATGGACAAAAGCTGAGGAGGGAGTGGGATGTTGTTGGTCTCTCTGCTATCAAGTCCTGTGTGGGCATGGTTGGGGTTTGGAGTTATTGGTTTGATAAAACTTGTGATGTAAGCTGTTAGTCTGTGATATGCTTCAGTTAGAATTTCAGTCTACTTTAGGTGTGGGTGGAAGCTTCAACTATATCGATGACATGTTTGGACACTTCTTTTTACTTAGTTGAAGGTATGTAATCATGTTTTCTGCAGTCAGGGTCAATAACTGTATGTTCTGTTGGAGTGTGATGAGAAGTAGAGAGAAATGCTTCTGGAGATTTGCATTTGCCTCCGTTGCTGTACATGCTTGGAGCATTGGTGTGAGTGCATTGCAACGTGATTGACTCTTAACTACCTTCTAAATGGTTTAGCAGGTCTCTCTTTTCTGATGTTTAGCATTCTGATGAAGGACCAGAGGTCTTGAAATATGAACTCTGTTTTTCTTTCTACAGATGCTGCCAGACACGCTGAGTTTCTTCAGCATGTTCTGTTTTTGTTTGGACCTTTTCATTGTTCTGTTTGTGGGTATGCATATTCATTCCCATGTTGTTCAGACTGTCTGGAGTTTCGCTTTTGCTTATGAATGCACATGCGGAACACTTTAACAAAACTCAGTATAATTGTATGTTGTCAAGCTTTTATTATACTTTCTGTTGATGAGTCATATGTATAACACATTAGAAGTTTTGTTTTGGTTTCTGTAAATGCTTTTATAAAAAAATGTCTTTTATGTGGATCGTTAAAAATAAAATGGGGAACTCTTTATAGGTGATGGGCTTTGGACTTTACCTTATGGATGGAAGTGTAAGCAATATATACAAGCTTGATGCCAAGAAAAGAATAAACTTGAACAAGATTGATAGATTTTTTAAGGTAAGTTAGTGTACATTGTTTCCACATGACTCAACAAGGGTAGCAATGGTCCCCTTGCCTTAGTTGAACTGCTGTTAAATGTATATGTTTCTCCCAGTGTACTGTCAATTTTTTTTTTCTGGCCCTGCACTTATTTTTGAATTGGGGGAGACAATGCATAGTGGTATTGTTGCTGAGGTAGTAATCCAGGGACCCAGCTAATGCTTTGGGTGGAAATCCCACCATGGTAGATGATGGAATTTGATTTCAACAACAAAAAAATCTTGAATTAAAAGTCTAATGATGACCATGAATCAATTGTTGTAAAGACCCATCTGGTTCATTAATGTCCCTTAGAACGAAATCTGCTCTCTCCACCTCATCTTGCCCAATTTTACTCCACGTCCACGGTGATGTGGTTGACTCTTAACTGCCCTCTGAACTGGCCTAGCAAGCCACTCAGTTGTATGAAAAAGTCTGGAAAAAAAACTGGATGGACCCACCTGGCATTGACCTAGGCAATGACTGGCAAAATGAGCCTTGTCAACTCTGTAAAGTTCTCCTTGCCAACAACTGGGGCTAGAGTCAAAATTGGGAGAGCTGTCTCACAGGCTAGTCAAGTAACAGGCTGACACAGTTATACTTGCAGACTCAATGTAACAGGCGGTGTCCCGGACAACACCATTGCCATTCCTGGGTATGTTCTGATATACTGGAGGGACAGACTCAACAGAGGTAGTAGTGCAGTGGCATACAGTTTGGAGGGCGTTGTCCTGGGAGTCCTCAACATTGACAGTGAACCCCATTAAGTCTCAAAACATTAGGGCATAAAGAGACAAGGAAACCTTCCACTGGCTATCAGCACCCTCCCCATCTCACTGAATCTCCGAATCTCTGGTTCCATCTGTTGCCTAAGCAATGTTTTAGAAAGTTGTAACAAGACTCTCTTCCTCCCATATTCTACATTCCAGCTAATAAAGGCAAGCATCACTACCCTGTTTACCTATGCTGATACCTGATTTGTACCCCAAGGTCCCCTTGTTTCTCAGTACTCCTTAGGGACGTACCATTCACTGTGTATATCCTTCCCTTGTTAGGCCGCGAAAATGGATCACCTTGGAGTTATTGGTATTAAATGCTACCTGCCGTTGCTGTATTAGTAGCTGATCAGTATTAGACTAGCCTGAGACTATCCTCCTCATTATCAACAACACCACCAATTTTTGTATCACCTGCAAACTTACTAATGATGCCTTCTATAATCACATCCAAGTCATTAATGTACATGACTGCAAGAGCCCCAGCCCTGATCCTTGTGGTGCACTGCTTGTAACAGGCTTCGAATTACAAAAGCAACCCTCCACTATCCCCTTTACCTCCTAAGTGTGAGCCAATTTTGGATCCAATTTGGCCAACTTGCTTTGGATCCCATGGGCTCTGAACTTTTGAACTTACCTTCCTTGTCAAAGGCCTTGCTGAAGTCCATGAACACATGAACTGCACAACCCTCAACAACATATTTATGCACTTGTGGCCAGCAAAGTATTTCGTATCTCCATCAGGGCCACAGCAGTCTCCTCCCTTGCCTCCTGTAGAATCCAGCGATACATCTCGTCAGGCCGAGGGGATTTGTGTACCTGTATGCCTGCTAAAACATCTAATACTGCCTCATTATCAATCTTAATGTGTTGTAGAACATGACCATCTCAGATAGTATCTGTGAATCTAGATGAGAAGTATTCATTTAAGACCTCACCGATGTCCACCGGCTCCACGCACAGTTTATTCCTTTGGTCTATAATAGCTCCCACTCTTCTAATGGTAATCCTCTTAGACTTATGCTTACAAAAATCCTTGATTTTCCTTGATCTCGTCTGCCAGAGAGATTTCATGGCCCCTCTTTGCTCTCCTAATTTGCTTTTTAAGCAAGCTACACTCTATATTTTTGAAGGACTTCCACTTTTCAATGCATTGTACCTGACATACTTCCTCCTTTTTATTTATGAAATTCTCAATATCCCATGACATCCATGATTCCCTTCTGTTGCTGCTCTTGCCCTTTACTCGTAGAGGAACATGGAGGCCCTGAATTCTCACTTTCCTACTTTTAAACTTTCATAATCCCATTTTCCAATTGTAGACTTAACTGCAAGTAGCTGCTCCCAGTCTATGTTTGCCAGATCCTGTCTAATGATTTGAAATTGGCCCTCCCCCAGTTTAGACACTTAATTTCAGAATTATCCTTATCCCTTTCCAGAAAGACTTTGAAACTTAGTTATGGTCTCTATCGCCAAAATGCTCATCCACTGAAACTTCAACCAATTGACCACCTTCATTCCCTACGATTAAGACAAGCACTTCCCCACTTCTGGTAGGACTATCTACATACTGGCACAAAAAGCTCTCCTGGGTGCACTTCAAAAAATTTCTCTCCATCTAATCCTTTCACATTAAGTTAATGTCAGCGAAGTTGAAGTCCCTTACAACTATAAACCTGTTTCGGTTACACCTTTCTGTGATTTGCCTACATTTGCTTCTTCAAAGGACAAAGGAAATTCGGCAAGCCCACAATGACTCTTATTAATTTTTATGGATGTACCATAGAAAGCATTCTATCCGGATGCATCACAGCTTGGCGTGGCAACTGCTCTGCCCAAAACCACGAGAAATTACTGTGTTGTGAATGCAGCCCAGTCCATCAAGAAAACCAGTCTTCCTTCCACTGACTCTGTCTATACTTCCTGCTGCCTTGGGAAAGCAGCCAATATAATCAAAGACATTTCCCACCTCTTCACCCTCTTCTATTAGGCAGAACATACAAAAGTTTGAAAATGTGTACCAGCAGATTCAAGAGCAGTTCTTTCCCACTGTATTCAGACTTATGAACGGACCTGTCGTATATTAGAGTTGATCTTTCTCTGCACTTTCACTGTAGCTATAACAACATATTCTGCATTATGTTCTGTTACCCTGATGTACGTATGTATGGTATAATTTGTCTGGATACCATGCAAAACAGTACTTTTCACTGTATCTCGGTACATGTGACCATAATAAATCAAAAACAAATCAAACCGAATATATGGTCTATTTTCCTCTGACTGTTGGATGGCCTGTAGCATATACCCAGAATGGTAATCACCCCGTTTTTCTTTCTGAGCTCTACTGAGATGGCCATATTTGAAGACAGTTCTAGGATATCCACACTCCTAAAAGACATAGCTGCTAGACTGGGTCTGCCGTTGATAAAGGAACTAACCACTGGAAAAAACCTACTTGACTTTGCCCTTCCCAATCTAGACAGACAAAGGTATGCAGTTTAGGTGGATTGGCGATGTTAAATTGCACCATTGTGTCCAGCGTGGATGGGTTAACTATGGAAAAGGTGGGGTTATGGGATTAGAGTAGAGGGTATGGAATGCTCTTCGGGGTGGGTGTGGGGTGCATTGGTGCCATCTTGATGGGCTGAGTGGCCTCTGTCTGCACTGTTGAGATTCTCTGATTCTAATCTACCTGCCAGAGTTGCACCCATCCTGTGACCGTATCAGTAGGATTGACCACCTCAAAGTCCTTTTGGATATGAAGTCCCACCTCCTCGATGAGGAAGCCATGTATTGTATTGTGTGACACTGCCACAGTGCCAGATGAGATTGATTTTGTAGACTTTAACGACTTGAGACTAGCCATCCATGAGGTGCTGTGGGCCATCAGAGTAACAGAATTGTACATCAGTATGAGCTGTATACTCGTGACCTGGCATAACCCCCACACGACCATTAATGTCAAGTCTGGGTATCAATGAAATGTGTGTGAGGACATGCCAAGAGCAACACTAAAAATGAGGTGTCAGCCTGATGAAACTGCATCAAAGGATTACCCACGTGAAAGTGGTATGCAGTAGACAAGCCATAAGTAATTTCACAACCAACGGATCAAATCTAAGCTCTGCAATCCTGTAACATCTAGTCATGAAAAGTCGTGGATAATTAAACTCCTCATAGAGGAGGATGCTTCACAGAAGTCCCCTTCTTCAATGATCGGAGACGCCAGAACCTCAGTGCAGAAGATAATGCAACAAACCTCAGCCAGAGATGCCAAGTAAGTGACCCACCTCAGTCTTCTCCTGAGATCCCCATCACCGGAATTGCTAGTCTTTAGCCAATTTGATTCACTCCAAGCGATATCAAGAAATGATTGAAGGCACTAGATATTGCAAAGAATGTGGGTCCTGTCAACATTCTTGCAATAGTACTGAAGACTTCTGCTTCAGAACTTGCCATAGTCTGAACCAAGCTATTTCAGTACAGCTGCAACACTGGCATTTCTCTGGCAATTTGGAAAATTGCCCACTTAATGCCCTGTGTGCACAAAAGCATTGCAAATCGAACCCAGCTAATTACAGCTTCATCAGTCTCCTCTTGATCAGTAAAGTGGTGGAAGGGGTCATCAGCATCATTTGTGAAGCATCAGTAGGCAGTATTTGCATAGCAATAACCCATTCGCTAATGCTCATTTTGGGTTCTGTCAGGATCATTCAGCTCCTGACGTCATTACAGCCTTGGTACAAACATGGACAAAATAGCTGAATTCCAGAGGGAAGATGAGAGTGACTGACTGCTTTTGGGCCAAATGTGGTGTCAAGGAGCCCTAGCAACACTGGAGTTGATGGGAATCAGGAGAAAACTGTCTGCTGGTTGGAGTCACACCTAACACAAGGGAAGATGATTGTGCTTGCTGGTGGTCAAAAATCACTGCAGGTGTTCCTCAGGGTAATGTCCTTTTGTCCAGCGATCTTTAGCTTCTTCATTAATGACATCCCCTGTATCATAATGTCAGCGAGGGAGATGCTAGCTGATGTTTTGCAATGATTTAACAGCATTCGCGACTCCTTAGATACGAAAACAGTCCACATTCGGATGCAGCAAGGTCTGGACAATATTCAGGCTTTGGTTGATGTGTGACAAGTAACGTTCGTGCTACACTGCTGTATTGCCCACTAGGGGTTACCAATGACAAGAAACTGAACTGGATTAGCCTTGTAACTACTGTGGCTACGGGAGCAGAAATAAAGGCAGCATTTCTGTATAAAGTCTAGTGTTTTAAATGCAGTGACTTTTGTTAGGTAAATGTAGAACCATTCTTCCAGTTAGTTGACTGGTGTTTTTTTCTGTTCCTTTGAGTTTCAGTTTTAATAATAAGTAGGACAAATACAGTCAGGCAAAACTTCATATGGAGATCTCTAAGAATATTAACATATTGCTTGGGTCCAGCAAGACTTTTAAAATTATGTTTAGGTTATCTCTAGGGAACTGATTTCCCTTGGCATGCTCCAGCAGCCCTGATTCAATTTGTAATGCTATTGCCTGGACTATTAAAATGATAAAGACGCTTGCTCCACAGTACTTCTGAACATAAAGCTGATTTGTAATATAGTTGCTAACTACTCCTGAGATGCATTCCTACCACACAGCTTCTGATTTAGCTCAGTCTCTCTGCTGGCTTACTTATTGGAACCAAGGGTAATAAGAAAAGGGTAATAAGTATTTCTTGTGTAACCAAATTAGAAGGGTATTCTGTTAGGCTGGAAAATAGCAAACATAACTGCTCAATTCAAGAAGAGGAGGAGACAGAAAACAAGAAGCTATAATCAGTATGGACGGAGACAATGTAGAAGACATTGCTGCTGAGCTGGTCATGCTCTGTTGACCCAGGTACAGATCACACCACAGCAGTTGATCAAATTTGAATTCAGTTAAAAATCTGGTATTGACCATGATTGATTGTCATAAACAAAAAATATTGGTTCGTGAATCCCTTTAATGATGGCCTAGTAGTATTATTGCTAGACTATTAAAACCAGATAATGTACTGGAGACCTGGGTTCTAGTTAAGCAACAACCTGCCAACCAGAATAAAGACCCATTTGTGCCTACTTAGTTTCCTTCCAGCTAGACCAGTTTCTATCTATATCAATATGTCACTCCCATGAGCTCTAATTTTCTGCAATTACCTTGAATATGACAGGTAATTGGATGCCTTCTAGAAATCCAAGTACGGTATGTTCACTGGGTCCCTTTATTCACAGGATTAGTTAACATAGAATTGTACATCGCAGGAACGGGGCCTTTGGTCCACGATCTTGTGCTGAAGATGATGCCAAATGAAACTAATCCCTTCTGCCTGCCATTGGACCCTATCCTTCCACTCCTTGCATATTCATGTGCTTAGCTAAAAGTCCCTTAAATGCCCCTTTTGTACACACATCCACCATCAACCCTGGCAGTGCGTTCCAGACTTCTACCACTCTGCCTGAAAAACATGCCCCTCATGTCACATTTGAACTTTTCCTTCGCTAACCTTAAATGCATGCCACCTGGTATTAGACATTTCAACTCTGGGGGGAAAAAAAATTCTTACTGTCAACCCTATCTGTGCATCTCATAATTTTATAGACTTCTATCGTCTCCCCTCAGCCAGCTCTGCTCAAGGTAAAACAACCGGAGTTTTTCTAGCCTCTCCTTATGGCTCATACTCTCTGATCCAGGCAGCATCCCAGGAAACCTCTTCGGCATCTTCTTTAAAGCCTCCACATCCTTCCTGTAATGTGGCGACCAGAATTGAACACAGTACTCTTAATGTGGCCTAACCAAAGTCTAGTAAAGCTACAACATGACATCCTGATGCTTGTAGTCAATTCCCCAATCAATTAAGGCAAGCATACCATATGCCGCCTTTACCACCCTACCTAATTGCGTGGCTACTTTCTGGGAGCTATAGACTTGAACCCCAAGACTCTTCTGTACATCAGTGCTGTTCAGAGTTCTGCCATTAACTGCATACTTTTCAGTAACATTCGATCTCCCAAAGTGCAGCACCTCGTACTTGTCTGGATTACATTCCATCTGTCTTTCTTCGCCCATTTCTGCAACTGATCTATATTCTGTTGTATCCTTTGACAAACTTCTACACTATTTATAACTGCACTGATCTTTGCATTGTCTGCAAACGTACTAACCCATTTATCTACATTTTCATCTAAAGCCATTTATATATACCATAAACAGCAGAGGTCGCAGCATGGATTCCTGCAGAACACCACTAATCATGGACCTCCAGCCTGAAAACCATCCTTGCACCAATCCCTCTGTCTTCTATGGGCAAGCTAATTCGGAATCTACAGCCAAGTCACCATGGATCTCCTGCATCTTACCTTGCCTGCCTTACTCAGTGAAGCCCAGTTTTCACTTAAGTGTGTACTTCTACTAACTAGCTGCATTGACGGGTTCCTTAAATTACAGCACAATCTTTACAAGCAGACCAAATACATTATAGGCTATAACAAACTTCCTATCAGTCCCTCTTAATGTTTCTCCTTTTTTTTTGGTTAAGAGGAGGAAGGAAGGATGGAAATGCTATAGTAAGGTAATGTTTGGGGTTTACTGTTCCTTGCCACTGAGTTCTCCCTCACTCCGTTGATCGGTCATGGTGACTGTACCGACTTCTCTCAGAATGCTCGGTGAAGTATCTGTGTCCTCTTAGTTACTTCTTCAACAATGTCCAATAAATTCATTAAATATCATTTCCTTTTCGCAAAGCCATGTCAACTCTGCCTGATTACGTTGAAGTACCCCACTACAATAACTTTAATATGAGCTTCTAAGCAGCTTGTCTGTGATATATGCTAAGCGAATTGACATATAGCTTCCTGCTCTCTATCTTCCCTCCCTTTTTGAATGAAGGAGTTGCATTCACTATTTTCCAAACTAATGGAATCTTCGCCGCCTCTAGGAAAGTTGCAGAGTTGAAAATTTACCGTCAACCGGCCCTCAACTATCTCACTGGCCACTTTTGTATGAAGTTGGATAACGTCAGTCAGGACCTTGGGACCTGTCAACACACAGTTCCGACAGTTTGCTCAGTAGCACTTCCACGGTGATTGTAAATTGTAAATTTTGAGTTTATCTCATCCTGATTTGCAGCTATTGCTGGGATATTGCTTGTATTTTCTCCATTGAAGAATGATGGAAATGCCTAATTAATTTGTCAGCTGAACTCTTATTTTCCCTTGATATATCCTGAACCTTAATGTCTATAGGACCGACATTCATTTATGTAAAAACTCTTGTTTTTTTTTATATTTACAGTTAGCCTTCTTTTGTGCTCTAATCTTACTATTCTTATCGAACTTTGTTACCCTTTGCTATTCTTAAATTCTGCCCTACCTTTTGATCTGCCCCCCAAGTTTGTGAAATTATATGCCTTTTCTTTAAGTTTGATGGTATCAGTTCATTAATTATGTTTTGATTAATCACAGAAATTAGGAATTTGGAATTTTCCTGTTTTGTCAAAATTTGTCCATTCTGTATACACTGAATTTTTTTTGAAGTGTCTGCCGCAGCTTCTGTACTGACCTATCCATTAACCTAGTTTACCAGATCACTTCAAATAGCTCTGCCATCATGTTTTCATAATTGCCCCTATTAAATTTAAAATACTAATCTCTGATCCACTCTTCTCTCCCTCAAACCAGATGTAAAGTTCAATTTCATGTTCTCAAAGTTTGCAAGCAATGGCCAATTGACCTCAGTGCTGGAGTTCTGGACTTAGAAATTTCTTTGTAAAACTGGTGGTCCAGAGCAAAAAAAAAATGCCCAAAACATTTGAATTTTCAAATGCTGTGATACATGGGGTGACCACAGTAAGGAAAATTTGGACTTCAAACTGAAATGCTTTAGTTGGAATACTGAGAGCATCCATTGAGGCTACTTGAAATAATTTATTTCAATTATGTTGCAGCAATTGCAGGTGGTGCCTTTATTTGGTGACATGCAGATCGAGTTGGCCAGATACATCAAGACAAGTGCTCATTATGAGGAAAACAAATCAAGGTAGGTGTTCTGAACCATTTGGCTTGTAGAGATATAGCCCTACCAGTGTTTATTCATTGCTGTTTGCACTTATTTTCACAACAGTTAGCTTTTTCCTTTGCAACAATGGCTTCCTGTATAACTCAGGCCTGTACCACATGGCATACCTACCTGCTAAAATTTGATCAACTGATTTTAGCCACTGCTTTGGGATATGTTTAAGCAATCTGTAGGGCCATTACGGAATATTGTGTGCAATTTCCTGAGGAAGGATGCTCTTGCTGTCGAGAGACTGTAGCGCAGGTTTACCAGTCTGATTCCAGGGATGGCGAGTCTGACGAATGAGAGATCGACTAGGTTGGGATTGTTTTCGCTAGAGTTCAGACGAATGAGGGGGGGTATCTCATAGAGACTTATAAAATTCTAACAGGACTGGACAGAGTAGATGTAGGGAGGATGTTTCTGCTTGTGGGGGTGTCCAGAACCACGGTCACAGTATGAGGATTTGCGGTAGACCATTTAGGACAGAGATGAAGAGACATTTCTTCAACCAAAGAATGGTGAGCCTGTGGAATTCCTTACCACAGGAAGTAGTTGATGCCAAAACATTGAACGTATTCAAGAGGTGACTAGATATAGCACTTGGGGCGAATGGGATCAAAAATTATGGGGAGAAAGCAGGATTTGGCTATTGAGTTGGATGATCAGCCATAGTTGTGAAGAATGGTGGAGCAGGCTCGAAGTGCCAAATGGCCGCCTCCTGCTCCCATCTTCTATGTTTCTATGTCATTAACTTTGGGCTTGCTGAATTTAGTTTAGGAATTTTCTTTTTTTATTTTTGCTTCCATTGTGCTTGTGTTCTTTCTTAAGATGGGCCTCCACATCTTCCAGTAGCAGTCCTCAGTACAACATTGTGGAACAAATGATTCAGATCAGAGAAGATCACATGCGTTTCATCTCTGAGCTGGCTCGCTATAGCAACAGTGAGGTACGTGAAATCTAATTGCCAAGTTCAAGAGCGTGTAGTTTTGATGTGTATGGTTTTCTAGGAAAACCAATGTTTTTGGGTAAAAGAAAACACAAGTGATAACAGATTGTAAAACAAGAAACATGCAACCATTTGTGAGCTTTCTGAAAATTTTTTGTTGTGCACCATGGTGTCCATACACTCTTACTGAGATGATGGAGGGAGAGAGATAACATGGCTCTAATACTCACCTGGATTTCACATTGGTGGTTGATTGTGATTAGAATTCATGAACAGGAATGAAAATCTGAACTCTGGGTGAATGTAAAAATAAAATTGAATTCAAGGAGTAGAAAGTCAAAGGGTCAGAATGTCAAGCCAAATCTCAAGACTACTAGAGGTCTGTGAAGTCAGCAGAGTTTTGTCTTAATTTGACATAACGTGTGATGCAAGAACAATCTTGACGATCCCGTGTGCTCTGTTTTTCTGCAGGTTTTAGCTTACTATTTTTGTCATCTATATAAACTGAAAATGTTTTTTGCAGTCAGAATTTTACCCCATGCCCCTAAGATTATGTCAACATTCGAATTCTCCTTTCAGAATATTTCCTTGCCCCAGTTTGGGATTGGAATTATTTGTACTTTCAGTTTTTAAGCCCAAGCCTCATTTTGTGACAAGTGGAAATGCCAGCTGTCCCACATCAGCAGCTGAATCACTTAATTTTAACAACTTAATTTTAACAATTACCAAGCAGCATCTCTCAGTTTTTTTTTCCACATCTTAAATTATATTTTCACAATTTAGCATTACTGGACAAGAATTTCTCTTCCCCAGTTCCTTCTTTCAGCAATGATTGACATTGTACCAGCCTGATTTCTACAGTTATATCTGACAGGCAACACAATAATATTTGTGGTGTCAACATGCACTTCGTACATTAGCACCAGCTTTTCCCTTTCTTTCAGCCAGTTCCATGTTTCATCTTGAGTTCCTACTCTGGCTTACAAAAAGAAAATTTGGTGGGCTGTTTGTTTTCTGAAGCCATTATGGCTGCTGTTCACAAGTTGTATCATACAGGTGATCTTAGAGTTTGCTTTCAATAACTGATTTCATAAGTTAGTTGTGAATGCAGTGTAATTTAGCTCTTGTTTCCTGGTTTAGTTTACCTTTTATGAATATTGAGATATCCTTTATTAATTTAGGAAGACATCGCCTGTATGCCATCATTTTCTCAATGCTTGTCCCACCATTTTACAAATAGAAACCAAATATTTCCGAGATAGTAGGAACTGCAGATGCTGGAGAATCCGAGACAACAAGGTGCAGGGCTGGATGAACACAGCAGGCCAAGCAGCATCATAGGAGCAGAGAGGCTGACGTTTCGGGCCTAGACCCTTCATCAGAAAGACCCTTTT